GGGGTTTAAGTGGAGAGAAAATGTTTTGGGAATGATGAGGGCAATGAATGTACAAATGCGCTTTACACAATTGATGTGTGTATGGATTGTGGTAAGAGTTGTATGAGCCCCTAATAAAATGATTAAAAAAAAATTTTTTTTAAATGGATCAGAAGGAAAATCAAATGCTATTACCTTTTCACCTAACCACATCTGCCATAATTGACTTCACAATGCTCTCTGTCTGGTAGCAAGGCTAGTCACATCCATCAACTATGGTCAGAGAGGATTCACCAGAGATTTAATCGATGTGGGGACTCTGCAAATGGATTTGGGGCTTCCACTGTCATCCATAGCCTTCTGCAAAACAGGTGTTCACAATTTAAGCTCTGATAAAGGCTGGTGTACTTCTTCCATGCAGACTTAGTTGACACCTCCCTTAGATGACTGCTTGTTTGAGGACCAGCTTTTAAGACCTCAGATGCTATTTTTTTATATATATAGCAGGGCACCATCTGGTTTCTTCACCACACTTGGCTATAGCACTCATACCTTCAGTGATCTCTTCATGAGGATCAGCATCAAACAGAGCCATATCATAAGAACTAATTTTTCTTACATTGGGGCTGGAATTAAGTGTGAACCCCAAATCCAGACTTATATCTATGATTTATATATGTCTCTGGTTCACTTTGGAGATCGTTACCATTTTATGTTGGAGAATATTATAAATAATCCCCCTGGAACATAAGGTAATTCTGTCGATCATGCCATTAATTTAATATACTGTATAGATAATATACACATGCACACACATTTATATATATAATATAAATTTTTGTTTTTCAATGTAGTGCTGCCTCCCGGTTTTCATTGTGGAGAATTCTGTTGCAAATCACAGGGCCGCTGACTAGAGATTTCCTCCAAGGGTAAATTTGTGTTTATTTCATCTGGATGTCAGATGATCTGGTTACCTCTGCGGACAGTTAGTGTGATTCCGTGTGGGATCACGTGTGCCTGTGCCAAATGGACTGCAGTGTGCTGTGTGACAGAAAGTTTTCCATGAGATGCAGAGAGAGATTCTTGCCACTAGAAAAGATACTGATCTGCTGTTTCAGTTTTCTTTCACTGCTGTAACAAACGCCCACAAACTGTGTGGCTGAAATCCACACAGATCTGTTCCCTTGTGGTCATAGGTCAGAATTCTGGCAGGGGATTCACTGGGCGAAGATCAAGTGTCCGCAGGGTTGCGTTCCTTTTTGGAGACTCGAGGGGAGAATCTATTCCCTTGTCTTTTGCAAGCTTTAGAGCAGTGGTTCTCAAACTTCCTAATGTCGTGACCCTTTAATATAGTGGTGACCCCCAACCATAAAATTTTTGTTGTTGCTACTTTATAACCGTAATTTTGCTACTGTTATGAATTGTAATGTAAATACCTGATATGCAGGATGTATTTTTATTGTTGCAAAATGTTACAAATTGAACATAATTAAATCATAGTGATTAATCACAAAACAATATGTAATTATATATTGTGAAATATTTATTTCTAAAGACAAATAAATGAAATTTTGTCTTGAAGCATGGTGTAGCATGGGTAAGTCTTCATGTCCCAGGGTACTCGAATGTGGCAGTACTTGTATGTGGGCGGACCCGCCTGGAGACGGAAAGAGGAGGGGTGTCTCAGTTCCTAAGACCATTGGAAATACGTGTTTTCTGATGGTCTTAGACCTCAATGCCCCTTCTCATTGAGTTGGCTGTGTGATTTTGAACTTCTGATACCTCTTACCTCTTACCACATGCTTCTTCTATGTGGGTTTTGTTGCTTCCCAGCTAGATGGCTGCTTGTTTTATTACAAGCCTTTAAGACCCAAGACACTTATTATTTCATAGCCAGGCACCATGAGCTTTCTTCACCACATTTGCTTATGCATCTTTTCTTGTCTTCAGTGATTGTGTCAGGAAGGTGAGTATCATACACTGCCAAATTATTAGACAAACCGTTCTTGTACTGAGGCAGGATTTAAGTACAAGTTCCAAGTCCATCTGCTTCATGTATATATGTGTGTGTGTGTGTGTGTGTTGTGTATAGATATAGTATCTCTTACCCCACAGTTATGTTTCCCCATCATTCACATTTCAGTAATTCCTCTCAGATGTCATTGTACATTTCTACAAGACCACCAGCAGTGAATAAGCGTTCTTGTCTCCCTCCAGCACTGACTGCTTTCTGTCTTTTTGAATTGGGCTATCCTTGTGGGTATTAGGTGGTATCTCCTAGTTGTTTTGATTTGCATTTGCTGGATGGCTAGTGATCAGGAATATTTTCTCCTGTGTTTATTGGCCGTCGCGTTTCCTCTGAATTTTCTGTTCAAGTCTTTTGCCTACCTCCTCAATGGGCTGTTCATTGTTTTCTTATTTGCTTACAAGATTCTATAGATTTTAGTCATAAGTCCTTTTCTGTTATATTGTTACTAAATATCTCTTCCCAGTCTGTGGTTCTCTTATTACTCCCATAGTGCAGTCCTTGTATGTACACAGGTGTTTCACCCTTACTAGGTCCCACTTGTCTATTGTATCTTCCTCTGGCTGTGTATCCTTCCTTGTTTCTGATAGCCCATGTAGTTTATGCTTCTTAGCTTTGTCCCAATTTTCTCATTCATGATCCTGATAGTTTTGGGTTTTACTTCTAGCTCTGTGATCCACCTTGAATTTGTTCTTGTGCATGGAGTGAGGTAAGGGTCTTTTTTTTTTTTGGGGGGGGGGGCTGAGGTAAGGGTCTTGTTTCATTCTGCAGGCTACTATCCAGCTTTTCCAGCACCATTTGTTGAAAAGGGCATATGCTTCCTATTTGATTTTTGGGGGGCCCTTGTCAAATATCAGTTGCCTATATGCTACTGTTTTTATTTCCAGAACTCTGTCCGTATCCATTGGCCCAAATATCCGTCATGATACCAGTACCGTGCTGTTTTGAGAACTGTGCTGTCTAATAAGTGCTAAAGAAGGTAGTGCAAGCCTGTTTCCTTGGTTCTTCTTGAGGAGTTCTTTGCCAATTCTGGGCTTCTTCCCTTTCCATGTGAAGCTGGTAGTCAGTTCTTCCACTTCTTTAAAAAATGGTGCTGGAATTTGTGTCCGGATTGCATTTTTATAGTGCTTTAGGCAGGATTGTCATTTTTACACTTTTGAGTCTTCCGATCCATGAGCATGGGATATTCTTCCATTTGTGTGGCCTCTTCTGGTTTCTTGTAATAATGTTCTGTAGTTTTCCTCATGCAGATGTTTGTGTTTGGGGGTGGGAATATCCCTAGATAATTTCAATTTATGCATGGCTATTGTGACGTGTACTACCTCCTTGATCTCTCTTTCTGTAATCCCACCAGTGGTATATAGCAATCCAATTGATTTCTGCTTGTTGATCTTATAACCTGCCACTCTACCATATTCCTCTATCTTTCCCAGCAATTCTATTGTGGATCTTTTGGGGTTCTCAGTATATCAAATCATACCATCTGCAGATAGCAATAATTTCATATCTTCTTGGCCCAGTTTTATACCTTTGATGTCCTTCCATTGACTTACCTTATTGGCTAGGATCTCCAAGACAGTGTTGAATAGGAGTGGATACAAGGGGCATCCTCGTCAGGTCCCCTTTTTCAGTGGGAATGTTTTTGTTTTTTTCACCATTGATTGTGACATTGGCAGTTGGTTTTTCATATATAGCTTTTATTATATTGAGGTAATTTACTTCTAATCCTGTCTTCTTGATTGTCATAATTAAGAATGGGTATTGAATACTATCCAATGCTTTTTTTTTTTTTTGCATCTACTGATATTATATGGGTCTTGTCCTCTTTCTTGTTAATGTGGTGGGTAATGTTGATGGCTTTTCGCATGTTAAACCATCGCTAAATCCCTGGTATGAATCCCATTTGGTCATGATGAATTATTGTATTCTACTGGCCAAGATTTTGTTGAGTATTTTTGCATCTATGTTCATTAGAAATCAGAGAAAATTCTTAATCATGTGTGTTCAGATTCTAAGCATTTGCAGTCAATGTCATAGAAGTCATACTGTGTTCCTAAAGCAACTCTCAGCTTTCAGGAAAAGCATTTTCACATCCACTCACATGTATCCTCTCACTGTGTGTGTATGTGCTTGCGTGCACGTGAATGCATGTAGCATGCTATCTATTCTCTACATGTATACTTATTTTCCCCTGAAAATAACTCCAAGGGAAGTCATTCAAATGTTATTCCCTTTTAACAGATAAATAAACAAGTTCAGAAAGTCATACCTAGATTATAGATCTATTAAAAATTAGTATTGACATTGGAACCTTGAACTTCTACCTTTAACTGCATTATTCTTTCAAATCTATTCGACCTATTAACTTCCCCTCCATTATGAACAATGGGTGATGTAAAATTGTTTGAAAATCTTAAAAAGGTCAATATTCGTACTTAAAATACTTTAAATATATTTGAATGATTGGGGACTATTACTTATAATGGAAAAATTAGAAATATAAATATTTGAGAATAAGAAAATGGTCCAATGTGGATATATTCATAAAGTAAATAATATGCAGCCATAAAAATTGTATTTCTAAATGGTTGTGTTCCCAGAAAAATGCTCACAACATAATTGAGATAGCACACAGGACTGTATAGTATATCACTTCCATGAAGTTTAAAAACAGACTCACAGATAGGAAAAAGGCTAACAGGAAACTCATCATATACTAATGGGGACTATTTTGGGATGGTGCTGTTATTAGTTTTTAATAGTTTTCCATTTTGTCTAGTGGGCATCATTACCTATATATATGAAAAGCAAGTTATTAAAATATTTTATTGGAAATTGTGTGTGGGTGAGGTTGACTACCTTTGTTTCAAAATACTTGTGCATTAATAATCATGTGTTAAATTTTGTAGATTTTCCTTACTTATTTTCTCTTAAATATTTGCATTTTGATAATCCAAACAGATTCACTCGAAACCAACAAAGGATTGTGGAGCAAAACGAGAACCAGGAGGAAGCTGCCAATGTAAGTGAATAGAAATGTTGTAAAAGGAAAATGTGCACATTTCACCAATTGTACAAGAAGGAGCAGGGCTTATTCAGAACATGTCTTTAAAAAGAGGAGATGAGCATTAGCAGTTTGGAGCCATTCTAGTGGTGTGAAATATTTGCCTTAATAACTTGATCCTGCAGGTTATTAAGTGGTTTATAAGTGATTGTAAGATGATTTTCTGATTTAGCAGAAACCGGTGCAGGTGCTGAGATGTGCCGAGTTAACCGTACTCCCAACAGGGAGAGAATTCTCACTCAAAATGAATCCAAACCAGAAAGTCATCCAGATGGGAAGGTGAGGGAAGGTCCAAGATAAACTACATGGCACGCTTATTTTTCTAAGTTGTGTTTTTGTTCCTTGTTTTCAGACGGCCAGTGGACCTTCTGCCCCATCCTGTGATCTCCTGGACCTCACCTCCAGTCATCCAACTCCTGAGGGCCCTCGGGGAGAACTCAACACCGTCAATGCTCAACTTTCAGACTTAAGTAAATGAGCACCAGACTTTTCAGACCAGCAGAAGAGCTTGATGTGAAACAATTCTCCTTGGTTTCATAATTAAATACCATCTGAGAAGGATTGAAGTCAGTTTTAATGTTAGAGAGCTCTAGCTGGAGAAGGAATTCCTTCCCAGCTGATGATTGGCTCAAACTCAATAGAGGAATGGGCTGTGTCTGGGGGTGGAAGTCCTTGAAATTCATCCCCGTTGGTGTAAAATCTCACTTCACCTGCTGCTTTATTGAGGGGTTTGTACTTCGTGACCAGTGCTTAAGGCTACTCTGAACCTATACACTGTCACCTTTGGGTTTCTCTCTTCTATCATAGCATCAGACAAGGGAGAGATTATACACACACACACACACACACACACACACACACATAATGAATAATTAAATCAGATAAGGGATATACATATATATATATATACACACACACACACATACATATATATGTATATCTTGAAATCAGATGATGGAGATATCCAAGAGTTATCAGGTATAATACATGTGTAGAGGAAAAACCAGGTCTTAGAATCAAAGACATCCATTTTGAATCCCAACTCTCACTTATTAACCACCCCATGTTTGATACTTTCTTCTTTTATAAAATGGGAACAAAGTTTGCCTTTTAAGATCACAATAAAGGTAAATGAAATACTGTTTACAGATATTGTAGGCTTAGGGTTACCTCTCTCTCTCTTTTTCATTCTTTCATTATTCCAAAAAAGTTTAGATAAATTGCAAAATAAGTATGATGAAAAGCAGTGGATATTATAGGTTTTACCAACTGAAACCTGGTTGTTTTTTTCAAAGATTTTTTTTTTCAGGGTCAAAATACTCAGGTCACTGAATTTGTGAATTTTAAAAACTATAACTATTTCTACAATGTTAGCTGTTTGCTTTTGTGGCTAGTGGGAATGTATGGGGCCCAACTATATTGGCAAGTTTACTTAGGCTCTCAAGAATTTTCAGAGGGAGAAAATCATTTTTCCCTTTGAGATGACTCACTTAGACTTATAGAAAGTCAAATCCTTAGAGAGGTCAGCGTAGAGCTCTGACCATGTTGGTTAGTACTTTACATTTGTGCTCAACAGAGCAAAACAAAAATTCCCTTCCATCTTGAATTGCTTCGGGTTTCAGAAAATGCTCCCACCCCCAATAACCTCTTGTTTGGGCATGGTGTTCCTTTCCAACTGACATGAATGACGGTTTTAAATTTCTGAAGTAATTCCATGGTTTTATGGTTACAGAAATTCTAAATCTCTTTAATTTGGTTGTTTTACACTGGGGAAAATCCAGCAAGCAACTGACTGACAAACATTTTAATGTTGACCTACATTGTCCATTTTGTGTTCTAGGTTTTCGATCTCCAACTCCTGTTTTAACAAACAACATGAACCCCAGTCGTCATCCACAGGTGGATTTGCTAGCCTCAGAAAACACAGAAACACCCCTGTAAGTACATAACTCCGTTGCAGAATTAATACCTTATCATTTGGATTGCTTATATTAAGAAAAAATGGCATAATAGAAAAAGCACAGACTTGGAAATCAGACAGGCCTAACTTAAAATCTCACTGCTATTAAGCCGCATGATCTTGGTTAGGATAACTTAACCACTGTGAACCTTCATTTTTTTTCTCCTAAAAATTTTTCCTAGGGCTCCTAACAAAGAATCAAAGACTGGATATAACAATATATACAGTATTTGGAGCCCAGTATTATAGAGTTCTGAAAAGTTAATGGAACAATTCCATTATCTTTTCATGCCATTTCCCACAAACCTTTTGAAGCCCCCCTCCCAAGTGACAGAGGAGAAGAAAGAGAAGTGAGGTTCAAGATTGGAACAGTAATGGCTGATCAGAGACAGATCCCTTACCGCGTGCCAGGCACTTTGCTAAGCTCTTCCTGTTTATCTTATTTAAGCTCACAAAGTTACTGGATCAATAATAATGTCCTATTGTATAGATGAGCAGCCTGGGATCTGGGAAGGGAGTAAAGCTTGCCCAAGTTAATATAGCTAGTAAATCGCAGGTTTGATGAACTGGTAGTATACCATAGAAGAAGCACAAGCGACCCATAAACATAGGCCAATATGTTTATACCAAATCTCACTTGTGTAGAAATACAAACCAAACTACACTAAGACATAATTTTAAAATATCTTGCTTTGGAAAATAGTCTAAACATTTGATTATATATAATTTGTTGATTATAGAAATAGAGCCACTATGACATAATTATGGAACTCGAGGCAAGTGGCAATATCAGAATTCTAAATGCATTTACTTTTGAACCTACAATTTCAATTCTAGGAATTTATATTGCATTTCTGAAAAAGGAAATATTAAAAAGTTACACATTACAAGATTTTGTGTAGTGGCAAATAATTAGAAAAAGTTCAAGCATCCATTAGCTAGGGCCTAGTTAAATAAACATCTACTCAGTACATTAATATACAGCTAGAATAAAAGAGCTAGGCTTTGTGTGTGAGGAGCAATTACCAATATATTTGTTATTATGTGAAACCCCCTGCCCTGGCTTTGATTCTGACTCAAGGACACAGTAAACCTGGCCTAGAGGTTTCCCAGGTTGTAAATCTTTAATAAAGCAAACTGCCTCATCTTTCTCCCTGGGAGCAGCTGGTGGGTTCAAACTGGCAACCTTTCAGTTAGCAGCCAAACACTTAACTCACTCAACCACCGGGACTCTTAAGAGAACAAGAAAAGAGGAAAGATCCATATGTGTGTCAGGAAATGGTAATAAAAACGTCAATAGCTGTCTCTTGAAGCACTAAATTGGGTCCATACCTCAGGTTGAATGCCTCTCATCAACTATGAGAGATGCAAGTATATGTTAAAATGCTGGGCCCAAGACTGAAGGTCAGACATGCCTGCATCCTTCAACCTTACTAATTCTGACACCAGCCTCCCTCCCACAGCACTCTCTACCTCTCAGCTGGGTTCAGTAACTTGCTGAAATGACCACACAAGAACGTAAAGACCTTATTCATTAGTTTTATTAGGAAAATTAACAAGTTACAATTCAGGATCAGAATTGTGATCAAGTGTGATCAAGACACACTTTGGCCAGGACATCCTTTTCCTAGTCGCACCTGCAGACAAGCCTCTCTCTGGTCTTCAGCCTCTCAGCCATGCTGCTCCTTGACAGGCTCGGGCAATGTTACAAAGTTTTTTAGCACAGACAATAAATACCAAGAGTACATGTCACAGGCTGATCAGTTGTAGCTTCCCAATTAAGTAGCTGTAGGTACTTTATTCCATGAGTGAGCTTCCAGCCCAAGGACACTGCACTCTACTTTCTGCACGTGCCAGAAAGCCGATTACTCTGTCTAGCCTCTTGTTTTGGTCGTGCTACCCTCAGCCTCTCCTCCGGTGGCACAGCTGCCTCGTGGAGCCAGGAAACTTAGCACACAGCTGCCAGGAATTCAAGCCAGATTCAGAAGAGACGTGCAACAAAGCATTTCATAACTGGCATCAGGTTGACCTTGGCTGGCAGTTTGGTACCACAAACATTTGTGTTTTATTGATTATGCAAAACATTTGATTGTGTGGATCAAAAGGAACTATGGATAATATGCATAATCTGTACATGGGCCAAGGTGCAGTCATTAGAGCAGTGCAAGGGAATGCTGTGTGGTTTTAAATCAGGAAAGGTATGTGTGAGGGTTGTATCAGTTCATATACTTATTCAACCTGTATGCTGAGCCAATAACCCAGGAAGCTGGACTATATGAAGAAGGATAGCATCAGGTTTGGAAGAAGGCTTACTAACAACCTATAATAGGTGGATGACACAATCTCTGCTTGCTGAAAGTGAGAAGACCTTGAAGCACTTCCTGCTGAAGATCGAGGACTAAGCTTCAGTGTGGATTACAACTCAATGTAAAGAAAACTCAAATACAACTGGAAGTTGTCAAGGATTCCATTTTATTTGGATCCACAATTGATGCTCATGGAAGCATCAGTCAATAAGTCAAGCAACATATTGTATTGGCCAAATCTGCACAAGACCGCTAAAGTATAAACAGCAAAGATGCCACTTTGAGGCCTGAGGCGCTATGATCTAAGCCTGGTCTTTTCCATGGCCTCAGATGCATGGGCAAGCATAAGGAATGCATCAGGAAGACCACAGAAGAATTGATGTATTTGAGTTAAGGTTTTGGTGAAGAATATTTCTGGACAGCCAGAAGAAGGAAACACATCTGCCTTGAAAGAATTACAGCCAGAATGCTCCTCAGAAGTGAGGATGGCAAGACTGTTGTCACACACCTTGGATGTGTTATCAGGATAGACCAGTTTCTGATACAGAACATGATATGTTTGTTAAAGGCAGGGGTCAGCAAAACAGAAGAAGCTGCTCAATGAGACAGATTGACAGAGTGGTTGCAACAACGTACACACGTTGTGAAGATGGTGAAGGGCCTGGCAGTGTTCGTTGGATTGCTAGGAGTTGGAACCAAAACGACTTAACAACAACATAGATTAGTTTGAAGCTCTAGTAAGTGCATATGTATTTAAGAATGTTACATCTTGGCAAATTGATTCTTTTATCATTATGTGTATTGTCCTTTGTTCTGTCCTGATGTCTACTTTAATATTAATGTTGTCACTTAACATTTTTGGATTAGTGTTTGCACAGCACACCTTTTCCATTTACTTTGAGCTTAACCATATCAAAATACATGAAATATCTTATACATAGCATATAGTTGGATGTTTTTATTCCTCACAACTTCTGCCTTTTGTTGTGTTTTAGACTATTTACATTTACTGTAAGTATTGATGTGTTTAGATTTGGTTACCATTGTATAATTTGCTTGTATTTGTTCACACCACATTTGTTTGTGTCTATATTTCATCTTTCCTTATTTTGAATTTTTCAAATGTCTTTAGTATTCTACTTTATCTATTTTGACTGTCTTTGTTGAGTGGGTGTGTACAAGGGTGCTTCAAAACTTTATGGAAAATGGAATCAAAAGAGAACAGTATTTTTCCATAAAATTTAAAAAGCCCCTATATACATATATATATATATTTATACATTTATATATACACATACGTTTCTGTGTATCTTGTAGTTTGTGTGTGTGTATAATTGCCCAGGGTATCACGATATACATACCTCAGTCTGCTTAGAATCAATACTTTACCAAATGTAGTGGAATGTAGACAGCTTACCACCCACTATATTTACCTTTCTGCTTTACATTAAACTTGCTTCATCTGTATCATCTACATGCTATGAAAAAGCCACACCTGTTAGAATTCTTGTTTTCATTCCTAAAAATATACTTTAAAGAACTCAAGAGGAGAGTAGTTTTCTTTAGCATTCTTTTTGTCTGTTGGCAAGAAGTCTCTTAGTTTTACTTGATCTGATAATGTCTTCATTTCACCCTCTCTCCTAAAGGCTGTTTCCACTGGCTGTAGAATTCTGGGTGACAATTCTTTTGTCAGTAATTCACAAAAGTCACTGCAGTCTCTTCTGACTGAAATGGTTTCTGAAATCCTCATTCGTTTGAATTTCTGTTCTCGTATATGACACGTAGTTTTCTTTGGCTCCTTTTTTTCAGATGGTAGTTTATTGTTTTTATTATTTAGTGATTAATTTCATGATGGCAGTTGTCCATAATCAATGAGGATCCCAGGAAATTTAAGGAACACCTTTCTTTTATTTCTTCTCTTTTTTCCAGAGACCTCATTGCTTATGTATTTCATTCTAGAAAGGATGCAACTCCATTTTCACACACCTGTGGAGGGCGGGAGACTCTGCTAATCCCTGCTTCCTGTGGAAGGGATGATGATTTCCCATGACCTGAAGATGTCCAGTTTGTGCCCATCATTGCTGAGAGAGAGAGAGGGAGGGAAGGGATAGCAGGAGGCCACAGGAAGTAGCAGGGCAGGGAAAACACCACCATGGATTCAAGAGTTGCAGTAACTGACAGTAAAACATAAGTTCTTTGGTTAACAAAGCGGAAAGGGGGCAAGCATTGCATACATGATAGATACACACTAGCATTCTAAAGCAGGAGGGAAGAATGTCAGGGATGTAGTCTCCCCTCATTGTCTTTGGCTATTTTTAAGATTTTTTTTTCTTCTTTATTTTTGAACAGTTCAATTATGATATGTCTGTGTGTGAGAATTCTTTTGATTTATCCTTTTGGAGTTTGCTGAGAATATCGGTTTTCTGTGGATGCTCAAAGTATCACAAATTGGATAGCTTAAAACATTGATTATCTCAGTTCTGAGGGCTAGAAGTCCAACAGTCAGCAGGGTCACTCTCCTGTTGTTGACCTCTTCGATTCTGGTGACTGACCGCATCCCTTGGCTTGTGATCTCATCGCTCCAATTTCTCTGCCTTTGTCTTCACATTGCCTTTCTCTGTTTCTCACATCTCCCTCTTTCTCTTAGAAGAATGCTCATCAATGGATTTAAGGTCCATCTGGACAATGCAGGATAATCTCATCTGAGGGTCTTTAATTACAACTGCAAAGATCCTTTTTCAAATTAGGGTAACAGTGTCAGATTCCCAGAATTATGCTTTGCATATACCTATTGGGTGGGGCTATCACTGAACGTCTACTCCGAGCTTCTTGAATCTTTGAATGCATGTCTGTCACCAAACTTGTGACGTTTTCAGCTTCCATTTAAAACATATTTTCTCCTTCTTGGATCCTGATGGCACAAATCTTAGATAGACCTGCTGTCATTGTCTCATAAATTCCTAGGGTTCTGTTCATCTTGTATTTTCACTCTTATTTTATCATTTTGATTGATGACCTGTGTTCAAGTTCACTGATTTATTTCCACTGTTATCTCAAATTTGCTCTTGAGCTGATCCTGTTTTTATTGTTATTTTTCCATCTGTTTCTTTGGTGAGCCCGTCCCCGTCCCCCCCCCCCAGATCAATTATAATGGCTTGTTAGGTAATTTGTATAATACTGTATTTTTATTATAGTTTACATACATAACATACACCATCTACATTTTTTTTTGCCAACCACTCTTCCCCCTGGAAATATTTCTGTAACCATACTTTACTGTTTATTTTTTTAAAAGCAATGTTAAAAAAATGTAGCATAGTGATAGAATAATAGTGTTCACAGGAACGGATGGCAAACACACAGAAGGCCATATGTTATTTGTATAAAAATATAGTAACGACAGTCTCTGGCAGGTAATTCTAACTCTTGTCTTCTTGGCATTAGTGTGTATTGATTCTCATTTCTCATGGAAGTTGAAAATGTCTGGATATTTTGAGTATAGCTATGTATCACTTGGTGTCTGATAAAACAAACAAAAAAATAACCCACATACACACTGCCCTGGAGTGGATGCTGCCTCGGTGACCCTCTATGGCAGTGTAGAACTGCCCGTATGAGTTTCCAAAGCTGTAACTGTTCTTGAGAGTAGAAATCCCCCGCTTTCTCCCTCAGAGTGGCTGGTTTCAAACTGCCAACCTTTCAGTTAGCAGCCCAACTTGTAACCATTACACTATGTTAGGCTGTGATTCAAAAGGTCAGCACAGGCACCAGCAGCTCCTCAGGAGCATCACAGCAACATACAAGCCACCGAATTGTGATGTCTATGATACTTTCTGTGAAAGGGGATTCTGTGATTTGGACTTTGTGTGAACGTCATATTAAAACCAGGGTATTCTGTGATTTGGACTTTGTGTGAACGTCATATTAAAACCAGATGGGAGCTGGCTGCTGCTCCTGCTGGCGGCTGCCAGTAGAGGGGGAGGAATGGGTAGCTGCAACAGCTGAGGGTCCTAAGGACGGAGAGACTGGTCTCTCCGTCCTCACTTCTAAGAAAAGTCTGGCTATACTTCTTGTAAGACCTATGTTTGTTCTTCTGGCAGTCCATGGTACTGTTAATATTCTTTGCCAGCACCGTAACTCAACTGCACCGGTTCTTCTGTGGTCTTCCTGATTCATCGTCCGGGTGCACGTGCATGAGCAAACTGGAAATACTGTGGCTCGAGTCGGGTGCACCTCAGTCCTCGCTTTGCCCTGTGCATTCTCTCCAGGTTTCACAGTTGCATTCCACTAAAGAGAAAGGGGGACCTGTGCTTTCACAGAACATCTGCCCCATAACCAGACTATGCCAGACTCACTTCCTAACGTTTGCTCTGCACTGCCTCTCATCCTACAGGAAATAGAGTGGAAGCTACTCTGGTGGAAGAGACTAACACCTCTGATTTTTTTGTGTACTGTGCATGTTCCAGGGACTCAGAGCTAGCACTGCCGAGGCTCAATACTCTGTGTGTCTGCTCGCTTTGGCATTTGGGTATCATACGTTGCTGGACGTTGAAACCAAGTGGCAATCATTATGTAAACGTATCACTTTTGTGCAGTCTGAAGATGAAGACAGTCATCTTACTTTTTGCATTTGTGTTCTCACTGTAGGGTAACCATGCTGTGTTATCACACTATCCTAGGTTTCCCCAGAGGACCGGCCAAAACCTCGCTTCAGGTCATACATATGACAATGTAAGTAATGAAACCCTTCTTGGGCAAGGCACCCAGGCAGCAGGTGACCCTTGCCCCCCCCCCAAAAAGCAGGACTTCTAGTTGTTACGCCTCATGTCCTACTCAGTATTCCTTATTTCTTGATCTAGCCCTTCGGGATAGGTGTTTGCCTTGGTTCCTTTTCCATCTAAGACAAGTCTCACTTCAGTTTGGAAGGTGGTTAAAGGTCAATATTCTGTTTTTTTCCTTTTCATTTCCTCTTTCCACGTTCTTCCCTGCCATCCTCTTACAGATTTCAAAGAGGCTTTCATCCCTACCGCTTTATCAGCAGCCCTTGTCAAGGCCACCAGGGAGTTCCATATTGCTAAATGACTACTACAGTGCTCTCAGTCTTTTCTACTCGATATTTCAGTCACGTGTGACAAAACTAACCAGTTCCTCCTTTCACAGACTGCTCCCTTTTATTTCTTAACTCCCTCCATCTCGACTCCAACTCCTCTGATGGCCTGTCCTCTTCTACTATCCTTCAGGCATTGGAGATGTAGACTCCAGGGATCACGCTTCAACTCTCTCCTGTCTGCATTCATTCCTCAGTAGTCTTTTGGTCTCAGATCTTGCAACACTTCATTCTGACAATTTTACCAGTTTGAGTGTACAGCCCAGACCCTTCCCCGAAACTGTGAATCCATATATTCTCATCCCACTTAGCATGCTCTCTTGCTATCTTCAGTCCAACTGCCAACCTGTTCTTCCTGCAATGTTCCGCAGTAAGAAGGGTACCGCAGGTGCTCAGGCCAGAAGCCTTGGGGAATGATTCTTGAACTTCGGCTTTCACCTTCAAATCCTATACAGCCCCTCCTCGCCACTTCCACTTGGACAGCTCCGCCTAAACCCCATCAGATGGACATTGCAGTGGCCTAAGGGTCTCCTTGCTTCTGCCTTTGCGTTTCCCTCCTTTCCAGAACCTCCCTCCCTCAGAGTCTATCCTCAAGACAGAAACCAGAAAAATCTTTTAGAAGAATCAAGTCCAATAACTCGTCTGCTCAAAACCACCAATGACTTCCCCCTTCTGTTTGCAGTCAGTGAAAGTCTGACAGACTGATCCCCACCCCCCACCCCCTTCCCTTTTCTTACTGGGCTTAAACCACATTGGCTTCCCCTCCGTGGAAATATTTTAATTCCATATGTAATAGTAAATATTATGCAACATGAAGGAAACCAAGGGGTTCACTTTGGTGTCTTCTGCTTCAGAACCTGTGGACTTGCCGTTCCTTCGGATCATCAGAGACCACTTCGCTCAGGTCTCCCTTGGCGGGGCAGCCCCTGACAACGAAACACCAGGCGTGCTTTCTGCCCTTCCTCCAAACCACGCCACCGCTCTCATCCCCTTTCCTCTGCACTGACAGACTGAACCGTAAAGATTACATCCTGTGCCGCTTGCCGTCCAACATCTGCTTGTTTCTTGACTGTCTGCTCGATGAGGGCAGGCACTGTGCCTTTTGACCCATGAGTCCATAATCAATACCTGGCATCTAGGGCATGCCCATTACATGTGTGTGAAATTAGTGGGGGAAAGTGGGACAAGCAGGAGAGACTTCTGATTTAATCTATATATATATATATTAAAAGTTTGATTGGCACTTCATCCACATATCATATAACTCAATAGTTCATCCATATTAAGCAGTTGTAAAATTTTTACCACAATCAGTTTTAGAACATTTTTCCTCATACTCATTGTTATTCATGTAATTTTGGCAAAAAATACACACAACAGAACATTCTTTGACAACTTCTACATGTATAATCCAGGGCCACTAATGATACTGTGTTGTACAGCCACTGTTGTACCTCTCTCTAAATTGTTCCACCACCATTAGAAAACCCAGTGCCCCCTAAGGAAAAACTCACCCTGCTCCACCCATGGTAATCATAGGTCGTCTGGTTTCTTTTATTTTTTTTAAGTTTTCTTGATATTAAGATTCATATATCATACACTTCCTAGCTAAGCCACTTCTAAAAAGAACGGTTGTGTGTACATCATCACCATCAGCTCTTCTGCTCTTTCCCCATCCACTAATCACTCCCCAATTCTTCCCCCTTTCAGTTATATCTTGTCTTACTCCAGCACATTCATCGTGCGCTTCTCTGCAGTTTTATGATTTCTCTGAGGCTGTGACTTCTTGTGTTGCTCAAAACAACCAAGACTGCTCTCCAGTCCTTCATTTTAAAAAGAAAATGTTTTCCTTTAAAAATTTTACATTTCACAAGAGCTTGGCTGTGAGGGGCATATTGTCAGACAGAAGAGTGGTAGTATTGCCTAGAACACCGACATACTTTCAAATTGCTGATCCGTATCCAGTTGAGAGCTCATGGTTCTTGGAAGTGTAGGAATCTAAAAAATGAGAAGCTTTCATGTGGAATGTTACTTTGAGCACATGCCATATTTTCCTTAGCTTCCCGAAGATTCATACTCATTATTACTTCAGCCGATCAGTCCACAGAGCAGCCCAGCAACATCATCAAACCCGAACCTGCCGCCCTTGCCCAGCAATCATCCAGGTACCGGAGACGTTCTCATTTGCAGCACCTTAGGACACTTGTGAGACTGTGTGGGTCAGCCAGGCATTAATTGGTAATTAAAACTAGGTAGAGAGGGGAGAAATTCGAGCGGCGACAAGAAGTAAACTTAAATGTAGGGTAGATGCCGCCAGGACTGATAAGTCACATCAAACAAACTGCCATCAAATCCATGTGGACTCACGGTGATCCTGTCGGGCAGAGTGGAACTGCTCCTGTTTCCCAGACGGTACATGTTCATGAGAGTAGAAAGCCCTTTCTCCCGAGGAGCGGCTGGTGGCTTCGAACAGCTGACCACTTGAGCTGTAACCCTGTGCTACCAGAGCTCCATGATAGATAATGACAGGTTGTAAAAAGTGTGTATCATCTTTTGAACAGCTGTAAATTTGTGTATCATATAGTTTTGTTTCTGGTGGTCAGTCTCTTATTAGGATTTTCTATCTGAACAATGTATAGAGAAAATGTTGATTGTAAGCATCTCTTGGAAAAATACAGTTTACAGGTTCTTTTATTTCAACCCTCTACAGCAATGACAAAGAATGATCTTCAGCCACCCAATTACTATGAGCTCATGGAGTTTGATCCCTTAGCTCCTGCTGTCACTACTGAGTAAGTCATTTACAAAACGAGGACTGTATTTGGGGATCTGGGCACCCTTTGGTAACAGAGCTACAAGGCACTGGCTATTCGTTTAACTTTATTTAGGCAGTGCATAAACTGATGGTCGTATGCTTAGGCGGCTTTATAGAGGCTGCTGCTCTTTAATGGCCTGCCCGTTCTTGGCCGTGTGACTAAAAAAAAAAAGTGCCGAGATTGCACATTAAGAAATAACTAGAACCAGCATGGACACTGATGCATTCCCAACAGGTATCTTGGGAAGAAGTTGGGCTCTCTCCAGATCACGAAAAGGCACTATTTGCTGATTGGTGACCTAAGTAAAACCATGTAGATGGGGTCTTTGCCTTCTCTGACTACTGATCCCCAAAGAGCATTTCTGAGAATTTTTAGTCACCGCCAATGAACTTCACTACTTACGTACATATTACAAACAAAATGTACCTATTGTTGTTTAGTCTAAAAAGTACCTTTTAACTTAATCTTTAAAGTACCATTATTTTATTTCTCATTGGTCAAAAGCATAGTTTTTTTATGGAAAGGGAGTGGTGGACTTAGTAGAGATTGGATTTATTTTGAATGATTGGCATTTATTCCTAAAGCTCTAAAAATTATTAAAAACAAGTCTTTTGGAAATTATTGTACAAAACCTGGCAGCCAACAAGCTGTAGCTTGCCAGTGTTTTCTTTGATTGATGCAAACTTTTAAAGTGCATTTTTGTAATTTAATTTCCAACCATACAAAAACTAGCATATTTTCAAAGAATCTTAATTTCTGAATTATTTTGGAAGCCCTGGCAGAACCAGGCCTGCATGTTTACTTGATAACAACAGGCTGGAACAAAGTGTTAGCTCACCTGCTGGGTCCATGCATTTCGTCTGCTTGGCATGAGTAGGCCTTGAAATTTTGGGCCCTAGTTTAAATACTGGATTTCATAATACATTTTGAATTAACACATGAAAAAGTCTTTCGTTAAATGTTTCTTGAATTCAGGATTATGAAATTACCCTATATATAGGATCAGAAATTATTGATTTTAAACTAGGTAAGCTCTCTGGAAATGGAACAGTTTCATTAGTTTCTGCCTCCTAACAGGAACAGAGGATTTTTCTAAAAGTCATATTCCAGTTAATTAATTACTCTAAGTAAATATGGCTGTGCAACAGATATCAACCATGAGAGAGAAGAGGAAAGCTAAAGAGAAGTTTTAGAATTCTCTGCTATTGTTGGCTTATTTTGGGTTGATAGGGGCAGGGGGTTATCAATTCCTTTAAACTATCTCATGAAATCCGGGAAACTTTGAAAGCACAAAATTCAGAGGTAGTCTGGGAATTTCATTTCCCAGGTTATTTTTGAACTTTGGGCCTCCACTCAAGTACTCCCTCAATGCAAGAACACTTTGTTCTGTTAAACTGGCATTCCATGGTGCTCACCTTCCCAACACTATAACTGAAGACAAAGCGGGTGCATAATCAAATGTGGTGAAGAAAGCTGATAGTGCCCGGCTATCAAAAGATAGCATCTTGGATCTTAAAGGCTTGAAGATAAACAAGCAGCCATCTAGGTGAGAAGCAACAAAGCCCACGTGGAAGAAGCACACCAGCCTGTGTGATCACGAGGTATCGATGGGATCAGTTATCAGGCATCAAAGAACAAAAAATCCTATCATTGTGAATGAGGGGAGTGCCGGAGTGGAGACCCAAAACCCATCTGTAGGCAACATCCCTTTACCAAAAGGGTCTGGGGAGGAGACGAGCCAGTCAGTGTGCACTATAGCACCAATGAAACATACTGCTTGCTTTCCTCTACTTCTTTAATGTTTCCTCCCACCACTATCATGATCCCAACTCTACCTTCCAAATCTGGCTAGACCAGAGCATGTACATGGGTATAGATAAGAGCTGGAAACACAGGGAATCAGGACAGATGATCCCTTCAGGACCAGTGGTGAGAGTGGCAATACCAGGAGGGTGGAAGGAAGGTGGGGTAGAAAGGGGGAACCGATTACAGGGATCTACATATAACCCCCTCCCTGGGGGATGGACAACAGAAAAGTGGGTGAAGGGAGATATCAGACAGTATAAGACATGACAAAATAATAATTTATAAATTATCAAGGGTTTGTGAGGGGATGACGGGGAGGGAGGGGGAAATGAGGAGCTGATACCAAGGGCTAAGTAGAAATAAAATGTTTTGAGAATGATGATGGCAACAAATGTACAAATGTGTGTGACACAATGAATGGATGGATTGTGATAAGAGTTGTCCAAGCCCCCAATAAAATGATTTTTTTTTAAAAAGAATCTTCATTCTATCAGGATAAAATAAGTATTTTGGGGGCCATATATATATATGTAGACACACATACGCCATATATGTATATCACAAGATAAGTATTGCTACAAAATAACCAAAACCTTTAATGAAACAAAAATATCAAACCATGAACCTACTGTTCTCAAAATATCCTTTCATCTAAGTTTATACACGTCTAAAGGAGGTGTTTCCATCTCCCTAATTCTTCCCAAAAGAATTCACACTTCAGTTTACACCAAGTCAAAACAGCAGTTTTGCCATCCCACAAGGGACTCAGATAGTATTTTTCCAATGTTCATTGAGTTTGGGGAAGTCTGAAGGGGCAAGGTCAGCAATATAGGGAGGCTGTTAGCAAATATGGTGACTGCAATTGGGAAACAAAAGAGAAGGGTGTTTACAGTTCTGATGAGCATTACTGAAAGGTCAACTGAAAATGATCGAATTAATAGACATGGAAGCCACTGGTGATTTTAGGAGAAATCATTTTGATAAGCCAACTCCCATTGTTAGATAATAGATGGAGTAGAACTATTATGCAAATGACTTACTGGAAGCATACACATGAAAGGATGTTGGAAGTGCCTGGCAGCTAGAGATTGCCAGTGTGATGAGACAGATCATGGGATTAAGGATTGTTCTGTAAAACGAAGAAGCTATAGCATCTTTGAATGCTGACGGGGAGGTACTAGTAGAAAGGCAGAAGGCGAAGCTTCAGGAAGGGGGACAATTGCATGTATGAGAAAGTCCAGATGAAATAGATTTAGTGATAGAAGGAATTTCTCTAGCACATCACGACATGTAATTAAGAAGTAAGATGTGATAGAGCGAGAGGGGGCTATCACAGACTAACGAAGTTTGACTAATGAGCGAGAGGGCGCTATCACAGATGAGGGGGCTATCACAGACTGATGAAATAATTCTATGGAAAATGAGCGATAAAGTATTTTAGAGAAACATATTAAGATTGCAAGAGCATACTGGAAAACTTGGTGAAGTTAGTGAATTGACTCCATTAGTGTTGATTTTTATATTTGAATGTCATAGTTATGGGAATACGTGTCATTTTTTTTTTTTACTAACAGATGTATGTAAAGATACTAAGATATCAGAAAAGTTACTGCATGGAAGCTACAAAGATGTTATAAGTAGAGGCTGTTCTGGAGACTGGGCTGTAATAACAGGTTAAATAAGCTGACGCTTATTTTATTAAAAATATGTAATTTTTAAAACCAGGAATACCTGAACAGTTTTTTAGGGGTGTTTTCAGAAAATATCAAACTATGTGTATAAATTTGAGCTATATTTTCATTTAAATCACAAAAGTGAATTGGATATACAATAAGAGATTTAAAGATGCGTGGGAATTGCAACTCACCACCTGTCAGTTTGTTGTACTGTGGTGGCTTGTGTGTTGCTGCAAGATTTCCTCTTACATACTTTGGACATTTTGTCAGGAGAGACCAGTAAGAAAGACATCAGACTTGGAAAGTCGAGGGGGAGCAACAGGGGAAAGACCCTGAACAAGATGGATCGACCCTGGGCGCACAATGGGTTCAAGAATAGGAACAATTGTGAAGACGGCTCAGAATCCGGGAGGTGTTGTTATACTGTGACTCGGACTGCTACGGGTCAGAACCCATTTGACAGTACCTAATAAGAAATGCCACATTAGAATTTAAGAAGTCAGTATTCAATGTGGGCTGAAATACTGAAAGCAGCAGCAGATATTAACATGTCAACTGTTAAAAGCTAACATAATATTTTAAAAATGATCATTTATTATCAATGTACTAACCTAACCCTTTTCCATGGTTGCCGTTATTTCAGAGCTATTTATGAAGAAATTGATGTTCATCGCCACAAAAGAGAGTCAAGTCATACTGACTGTTGAGGTAAAAACTTAATTTACATACTGTGCAACTTCAGTGCAATTGTCACTTTCTATAGTAAATTATTTACATAAGGTTCATCTGAGAATCTGAGACTTTGGTGATTAAATATCATTATAAAAACTCTTACTCAAATGGCAATGAATTATTCACTCATGATATATATCCTTTGTAGTCTTTTCAACTAGAAATAATAAGGCTTGGGAATCCATAAGTTGGGATACAATATAGAAATGTCTTTAATGCTAGCACAAAATAATTATCAATAGAAATATAGTACTGAAATCATGCATTTGTCTTTAACGAGCAATCAATACCTGTTAATTAGGCCTTAGAATTTACTGTTACTCTCCAAGGTCAGTCTGGATTTTTCCCAATTTAACTAATGTTCAAGTTGCACTGAGTATCGCATTTTAATACTATGAACGCCAGCCACCAGTGAGCTATTACCATTTGACTCCACCAGTGCAAGAATCCCCACTTCTCTACTAGACTGACTCTCAAGCCCTCCCTCTAGAGCAGTGGTTCTCAACCTTCCTAATGTCGCGACCCTTTAATACCGTTCCTCATGTTGTGGTGACCCTCCCAATCATGAAATGATTTTCATTGCTACTTCATAACTGTAATTTTGCTACTGAATCGGGCGACCCCTGTGGAAGGGTCGTTTGACCTCTCAAAGGGGTTACAACCCACAGGTTGAGAACCGCTGCTCTAGAGAAAGGTGAGGAAAGGGTTATTAAGAAATAGGGAAAACCTAAGAAAAAGATAGTGAATGATTGGCTATCTACTTCTCTCTATTCTAGGTGAAAATGGACCAGCTCACAAGCTGCATCAAAAGTGCCAACTCGTAAACACTAGACTGACCCTGCCCGACTCTGAATCCTGGAAGACAAGACCTACATCGTAGCTGTGGTGGATGCTGAGACACTTCTCCTGCAGTACAGAAGTTTAAATACAAGAGTAGTAATTGCAGGGTAACATATATGGTTCTGGGGAACTGCTTAAAATTTATCTCAAAAGAGCCTATTATTATATTCAACCATCTGCTTTAATTTCAGGGGCTTAGGTTTTTCAGGTCCTTCCTACATTTAGAAAAGAAATCTTACTTCTGAATAGATGTTAAACATAAAATGTGAGAAAACTAAAATGTGATAGGAAGAATACAGAGTGCCTTCATTTAAAGTTGAATGTAAAAGTCAATTTGCACTTTTTTATAATACTCTTTAGAAATTTGAATTGCCTTTAAAAGTTGTTCTTTATAATACTAAATATTCTTTTTCTCTTTTTACTGTAATCTAACATTTCTATTTAGACTGGAAAACCTTCAAAATAAATTGTGTACGGGTTTATGTAAATCAACAGTGACAAGTAAATTACTATTAAAATAACTTGATGTGTCTTTAGAGTTTGTTCACAGATAGACTTGATATCAGTACATGTACACAACCCCACACAGATTTTAACATCGAGGGACTTGGAACCATCACAGTTAATCATATATATATATTTCATGGTATCACAATTTCAACCTAATTATTTACTTGGTACAATCAATATAAAGCAGTCCTAGATCTTAAAAGTAAAACAAATAAGAATTTGAAGAAAAAATGCAATCTTTGGGCAAGTAACACACCTCTTCCATGTTAAGCTCTAAAAATAATGACTATTCACCCTGAAGGCAAGTAACAACCAATGGTTTTAGAGATTTAATAATCAACCTGTTCAGAAGTTCTGGAGTATAGATAAAAATAAACATTAAGTATTCAAATGATACAAGTATGAAGGGCCAAAATGTGGAAGCAATCTAATGAATTAAACTGTACCATTAAGTCCATGCCTCCATATACATATATTTAAAGCTATACAGTCATTTACTACTATCAGTCTCTTGAGTTTGGTGGTAGTCAAACACTCTTAAGTAGGCACTCTAAGTGGGTTCCTTATGGTAAAAGCTAAACCTGTTTTCTTGATTTTAAGTGTGGTTAAGATGTCGGGGCATGGAAGGGAGCAAGCTGAACCATCATCAGTACATAATAATTAAATACAACATAGTAGAAATATTTCTTCTCTGAGAAGTCAGATACATGATTTTTCAAAAATCACAAATTGACGCAGATTTAGTTGCTGACTTCAATTATAGCCCGGAATTGGCAATTTATGCCCATCTTTGGCTTCGAAAAAAGTATAAGAAAGAGTGATGAGATCAACATTCACCATTTTTGGATCTTCAGCAAATTCAGGATCAATGTAGAAAAACACTGGCATGTCTACTTCCTCTTGTGGATTAAGCCTTTGTTCTTCAAAACAGAAGCACTAAAAGTTATAGAAAGATCGTTTAATGACATAGACCATCACTATAAAAGACTTTAAAAAGTGTTCACGTACTGGTTTTCATAAACACACCATTAAATATAACGGGACCTGTGAGTTCCGTAATGAACTAATGGAGTTTTGTTTTAGGGATTGAGAATCACCAAGTGATTTTGAGTAATGTTAAAAGGATTTCAATCTGTTCCTAGCTGGTGGAAACAAGTGGGGGGGGGGGGGAGGGGGAAACGAGACGACGACGACACTGCTTGAAATTTAGGAAAAATGTGCAGAAATACAACTATCTACTAAAACACTAGCAAATTGAGAACTCGCCCATTTCATCCTTTATTCTATAAAGTTGTGGTTAGGTGTACCTGTATTTTATTGAAATACTGTCCAGCTTCAAATGGTACAACATTGTATGTAGAAATTCCGATGACTGGCTTGTCAGTAGGATTCTTAGCTTTGTAAAATGCTAGTGCTGTCTCTCCTGGCACTACCTATTTAAAAAAAATACGTATTACCAAGATTTTTTCCTATTCATCAGATGAAAATACCCAGTGTAAAAGTAATATAAGGGGCAGTAAAATAATTCATGAATATTACCTAAAACAGCTGAGTTTCAAATTTTATTTGCTTATCAGTGAAGAGCCAATGCTCTGTTATGCATTAGTTATAGATTATCCTCTTGCATATCTGAAGTCTTCAAAAACAAAAATCTGAAAATTAAGTTATATAAAATATGTGCATGGACACTCCTAGCGTATCATAGCTCAACCCCAAATTCTTGGTAACACACTTGACAATTGTATGATTAACTTATGAAAAAAAAAAAAAACAGTTTAAGGATAACACCATTTCACTCAATTTACAACCAGGGTAAAACCAGCTGAACAGAATTGCAATGTAACCAAAGAGCTTTAAACCCTTGTTTTGAGAAACTAGATTAAAAAAAAATTCCCAAACCTGTCATTTATATCAAGTCAGCCATTAACAAGCTGTGTACTAACTACCATGTAATTGGAACAAGTAAGAACTTCTAAAATCCAAATGTTGAGAATCAGTCATGTTTACTTCATCTAGGAAAGTACTATGCACTACTTTTAGTTTTTGAATAGAATCTGAAAATCTTTCTAGTTAACCCTCAGTTTGTGAGAGCATTTCAGTAAAACCTTCCTTAGATTCAAGGCAGTCAAGATTGTAGGTATAAAGGCTTACTTTATTATAACATGACTAACATGACAGGGATCCCTGGTGGCTTAGTGGTTACCCTTTGGGCTACTAAATGCAAGGTCAGCAGTGTGAAACTACCAGGCCTTTCTTGGGAGAAATACAGGGCTTTCCACTGTCAGGAGTTAGTCTCAGAAACCAGCACGCGCTCTCCCTTGTTCTAGAGGGCAGCTATGAGGTGGCATCGACTCAATGGCGAAGGTCTTCAGTGCTTTTCCCTTTGTGGAGGGACAAGTATACTTTCCACGTAAATCAATAAACTCCTTTTCATTGTAACCGATATTCTTCACTATTTTCCTATATGATCTACCTCTGAGGATAAAAAACCAGCTGTGTGCATGAGTAGCTGCAGCTACTTCTGAAATTAGTTACCAGGTCTACTTCATGAACTCCTAGTATGAGTCCTATAAAAACAAATGACATTTCCATCTTTCAGATTTAGTTTACTATAATACCATATACCGTAAAAGTTAAAAGCATATCCTGCTATATCAGGTGTAGAACACTATCAATACGTTATCTGTAGGAATACAAACTCCAGTGATGAAATCTGTCCGCATTTTGACGTTAACATGAGTGTGTTCTGCACCATGAAACAGTTTAAAAGAGGAAAGGAAGTTTTACACTGAAAAGAATCCTGTATTAACTGCTTTAGCCACTCACATATATTTCCGTTTGCTGAGGTCTAAAGTTCCACTGGAGACTTGCATGCACATCTGCATTAAAGGTTACTTTAATAATACGATCCTTAACAGGCACCATGTTTTCAATCTGGTCAGATCCATGGCCAGCTACTGCTGACCCTCCAAGTCCAGTAGTCTAGAAAAGATAGGCAAATAGCATGTGTTAGTCAATACCTTTAGGGGCTGAAGATGTATGGATAAATCTTAAATTTCAAAACAACTTGAACTATGCAATTAACTTTAAAAATCCAGTTGTATATACTATTACCAATTCTGGTGTTTGGATAATCAACCAAATATTACATAAAGAAAAAAAATGCCACATTTGAAGCTAGGGAGCAGACACTCAGCAAAAGAAGAAAAAAATAGGCATTTGCTTATTTAGTAAGTCAACCAGCTTCACTGCCATGCAACATTATTACCAGATATACCCGTGTTATCAGCCGAGTTTTTCATCACATTTTTAATGCAGTTTTTGTGGTAAAATTAGGAGCCCCAGCTGATATCCAGGATGGCTTATACGCAAGTATATATGGTAAATTACATTATAACTCTTAACGAGGTATTAGGGCAAATCTTTATATACTAGAGTGGACTAGTCTACTTTTAAAAAGATGCTTTTTGAGTTATTTCTTTCTAGAAGAATGTTTGAGTCATTCATATATTAAAAAAAAACCCAAACCTAAAAACAGGCGCATACTCCCGAAAATATTCATTAATGTCATCTCCCTGACAGTCTTGGAATATAGATCTTTCAAATTTTTAAGGTCAATGCCTCAGAGAAATTAACACACCCCCCCCACCCCAACACACACACACACACAATTTAAAGGTAGGGGAAAGCATGAAAAGATCCAGGGTCTAGTGTAGTCCTACCACTCACTCTAAGAACTAATAAAGTCCATTTCTTTGAGCTATAGTTTTTCTTACCTATAAGACCGCTGTATTGTCTACATAACTCATCCTGTATTCAGTTAAGTGCTGTGATTCGAGTCAATCTTAAATTCTTCAGCCTGATTCCTAACTCCTACTCCTGAACATTCTGATGTAACAGCTAAGTCTCAAAACCGAATTTGTGACTGCACAACTGCCCAAGGCTTAAGCAGCAACACGGACCAAATGTGGCCCACAGGATGGATGTGCTCATATGACATTTTAAAGACACATGCATGAGCAGGGAAGGTTAGGCAGGCTGCTGGGGTTCCCAGAGGGCAGACTTCAGACCTTCTAGGCGTGGATCTAACTTAAGAGACCCAACAGCACATTGCATTGAGCAAACTTGGTAGCAAAGATCTTTTTAGTGTTCAAAGGCAAAAGATGTCACTGTAAAGACTATGGACCTCTGAACTCAAGCCATGGTACTTTCAAGAGCCTCATTGTGCACGCGAAAGCCAGACAATGAATAAGGAAGATGGAAGAATTGATGCCTTTGAATTACACTGGTGCCAAAGTGTATTAATTATATAGTGGACTGGTTTGACAAAAACAAACTCTGTCTTGGAAGATATACAAGAATCCTCCTTCGAAGCGACGACGGTGCGACTGGCCTCCCTAGTACACACAGGTCATCAGGAGGGCAGGTCCCTGAAGAAAGGCCAAGTGCTTGATACAGTGGAGGGTCATCTCAAAGCGATGGCTGACTCGGTGGCTGCAGCCATGGGCTCACAGAAAGTTTGTGAGGCTGGCTGGGTCGCTGAGAACCGGAACCAACCGACTCAATGCACCTCTGGGCATGCAGCTTAGCAATGAGGGCGTTTTGTTTCGGAGCCGCGGTGGGTGTCACCCGACCGCGATCAGGCCTTGGGCGCTCTCTGAAGCGGTGCCACTAACTTCCTTGGTGCCTCTGGTAAAATCCACGGACCTGAGGCTTGATGGATCGGCCCTTCCGGTCCGGACACCGCGGAGGCACCGCGGCCCAGGGATCTGTCCCGCACCAGCGACCCTCTGGATGGCGCCGCGCCGGCCCCTACCTGGCAATAGAGCCGATAAAGGGGCACTGCGGCGTAGGACGCCCCCAGCATGGCCACGGCGGCCGCGCTCATGTACGTGAGGACGGTCTTGTTGCGGCGCCGCCATTCCTCCTCCTGCGCGCGCGCGAACGGGTTCGTGCTCTTCGGCCGCCGGGGCGGCTGCAAAGCCAGGCCCCGCGCCTGGCTCCGGAGCCTCCACGTCCCGAGTCGCCTCAGCCCCCTGTCAGGAGCTCGGGTGCCACTGCGCCACGGGCTGAGAAGAGGCTCTAGCCTCTTTCCAGCCGTGGTCAGGGACGCGGCGCGACTGCAGCGCCCGGCACACAGCTCGAAGCTCCTCCATGGCGTGAGCCAGAGCCCTCTCATAGCGTGCGGAACCCACGCCGGCCTCTCGCAGGGGAGGGGTCAAGTCTCGCGATACTTGCTCTTCTCGCGACACCCGGACAGGCTCTCCGCAGCCTTCGCTACGGGACGCCTCGGGCGGCGGCGCGGGAAGGCGGGCTACGGAAGCTCGGTTGCCAGATTGCGGGTAAGTTCGCGTTTTGCTTCTTGACCGTCCCTCCTCCTCTGCGTCCCGCCAGTTCCATCTAACGTACACGGCGGGCGATGCTTTTCGCGCTTCTTCGCGCCTCCTCGCGCGGGCTCACGGTCCCTTGAGGTGTGCGCTTCATCTTCGGGACCTCGGCTCGCCTTTGTCTCCACTGAGCGGTCCCCAGCGGCGGCTCTCCCGCGGCCCCTCGAGCTGGGCTTCTTCTGGCCTCCTGCCAGCGACTTAGGGGCCCTTGATTTGGACTCAAGGATCGGTCACCTCCCCCAGGAAGCCTTCCTGAGAGAGCCGCAGCCCGCCTCCCAGCTCCTCGGGACAGCCGCATCCCTACGTGCTGGGCGAAATGCTGCCCGCTGTGCTGCTCGCTCAGTGCAAACGCCCCTTCTGGAGCGGTTTTGAAAGCGCCCTCGCGATCCGGATGGCAGGGCTACTTGAGGTAGTGCAGCGAATGACAGGTTCATCTTGCGAAACAAAACGAAACCCTCGAGGGTTCGGATAGCTTTCTTCGCTGGCCCCGCTGACAAGCCTGGCTTTGAGGGGGACAGCGGCATAGCCGATTGCACTGTAGCAGCAAGCGTCTTTCTAGGAACGATGACGCGGGGGCGAAGAGCGCAGCTTCTGAGGTTAGGCGGTTTTGGATCGTCCCAGCGTCCTCACTGCCGGCCCCGTAAGGTTAAACCAGGGGAACCTCACCGATCGCCTTGTTTGTAAAATGAGACTCACAATAATGGGTGAGAATATGCATGCACAGTGATTTTCCAGGACCTGAGGCAGGGATGATGATCTCATTTTATAGATCTGGGGAGTAAGCCTGAAAAGTCAAGCAACTTTAAGACGTTTCGATATTTTGTCTTGCACTCTCAGTGCAGGTCAGACGTCTTTCAGCACAGGTCCGGGCAGACAAGCTGACTTCTGTGATGTATGTGCATCAGGGGTTCCAGCTACCGTGGCAGTCAGGAAAGAATATCAAGTAACATACATATATAAGGGAATTTCAGACAAAGATCAGTGGAGTGAAGATAGTGGAATATGATCACGTGATGGTGAGTGTCGAAGGGAGGTTAACCAAGGCTTTTCCGAAGAAGGGACATTTGATCCTCGTCCTGAATGGTGGTAAGGTGCCACCTTCGCAATTCCGGTGCACCTAAAGGCCCAAAGACAGCAAGAGCTGGGTATAATTGAAGGACAAAAAGGAGGCCAGTGTGTTCCTAGCAGAGTGGGGAGGGGAGAAAGTGGTGGGGAATAAGGTAAAAGCAGGTACACAGGGCAAAATAATACAGCGCCCTTTAGGTCATGCCCAGGGGTTTGGGTTTTATTCTATAAGTAATAGGAAGCTATTGGAGTGTTTTAAGCATGCAAGTGACATCATCTTTCAATTTCTTTTTAAAAAGATTGATTACTTCATGGAAGTGGATTAAAGGAGAGCAAGAATGGAAGTGGAATGTGAATCGATTATGTTAGGTTTCTCCAATGGGTAATACCTTGGTTCTTGGCTTCTCTGGATGGAAGAATTTGTACCGAAGCCTGTTTTGTAATCCAGGTCCAAGTGGGTTTTTATGAAAGACAGGGCAAGTTTCAGGTTTTACAGTCTCAAAGGGGTTCACAAGTGGGCAAGAGCAACCTCATGGGGACCTGGGGGTGGGGGGTGGTTTGGAACCCCAGGGACAGAGTGGTTGAAGGGGCAAGAGAGTGCAGAAACCAGAAAGTGAGGGGACCAGAGCAGTTGGGGCGGGGGGGCAGTAGAAGAGAGGGGGAAAGAGGGAGCATGCCTGAGCATGCTTCCAGCCTTTATTCTAGCCTACCCCCTGGAATGGTTGAAGGTATTGGTTGAGCCCACCTGGGTGATGTCATGAGCCTGGACCTAGTTTGGACCGCCCAGGTATATCGCCCACCTGTCTAGGGGGCTTGAGTGTGAGCATGCTCAGTTTGGGGTCTTCATAGGCATCTAGTGGTTGCCTGATTTCTTCCCAACCTCCTCCATGGGGACCTTTGCAGGCATGGGAAGGATAGCCCCCTCTCCCAAATCTAGCTACCTTCTCCCTAAATCTAGCTACCTAGCAAATACTCTAGTCCAAGTGAGTGATAATGGTCACCTTGGGACAGTAATTGATTAACATGTGCTCACTGGCCCAGAAATTTATTGAGCCAATAGACTCCAAGCCTCTTCCAATTCACCTCTGGCACATTTGCCCTAAAAAATTCTAAGAATCTGTGCTGCTACAAACGTATTTGTGTGGTATAAGAGGAATGTTGGAAAACCTTATTCATCCTATGTACCAGGGTTCTTGTTCCAGATTGCCAGCTTCTTCAAATTAAAACCACTCATATTTTAATTTTCTTCCAGTGTAGACTCAAGCCCCATGTAAATGTTAATGCCACTGAAGCCCATAATACACTCTTTCTGCCCACTCTTTTTCCCCATGCTATCTTTCTATGTAACTTGATGTATGGCAATGTAAATGTTTCCATAATAATGCTTTATCTTGGTCTCTCCATTTTATTTTCCTCTTTTATAATTGAAAAATAAAACAAATCCATTCCAAATGCAATGATTTGACAATGGTCAGGTTGTGTTTGCGGTGTGGCTTCTTTAATGAAACAGCAGTTATGCATCATATTGGGCCTTAATAATAAGAACTGACAATATGAAGTATTTTCGGATGAATGGATATTTTTGCTGATTCCTTTACATTGAGTGTACTCTATGGAATAAAAGAATATCATTTAATTTGGTCTCATAACTTTTTATTTTTGAAATCACAACTTACTTAAAAGCTACAGAAATAGTACACTGATTTCCTACATATCTTTTATGCAGATTTGTTAGTCTTTAACATTTCTGCACTATTTAACAAAAATGGCTTACCTTTAGATGATTTATAATGTTCTTTATCATAAAATGATGTCTTTATAGTGAATCAAAGACATACATAAAGCATAGATATGTAAGTAGATTTGGGGGTCGTACTTATTTCTAGCCCCATCTAAGAACAACTAGCTCTTATGATGTGGCTCTACTCAATATTCACCCTCATGAAGAATCACTGAAGAAATGGGTGCTATAGGAAAGTTTGAATAAACCAAATGGTGCCCACTATCAGAAAGCATAGCATCTAGAACAGGGGTTCTCAACCTTCCTCATGCCGTGACCCTTTCATACAGTTCCTCATGTTGTGGGGACCCCCCAACCATAACATTATTTTTGTTGCTACTTCATAACTGTCATTTTGTTACTGTTATGAATCGGACGACCCACAGGTTGAGAACTGCTGATCTAGGGCCTTACAGGCTTGTCTTTAAACAAGCAGCCATCTAAGTGAGGTGTCAACTAAGCCCACATGAAAAAAGCATAGTAGTATGCATGCATTGAAAATAATAAAACTCAAATCTGAAGAAAGGAATGGTATCAGAGCTTAAATTCTGAACACCCACTTTGCAGAAGGCTGTGGATGGCAACAGAAGCCCCAAATCCATTTCATGTAAAACAGGCACTCCGTCAAAGTTCCGGCCAGCTCCCAGTCCATTAATGATCCTCCTCTGAATGAGATATTACGATGAGGGATGGATGCGAAATGATTTTCTAATTTCATCACACTCCTAGGTTTATAAATTGTTGTTCCGCTGTTAACATAGAGCCTCCCCTTTGAGAGGTAAAAAAATGGAGGCGCAGAACGGAGCTAGAATTTAGCCAGGAATGTGAAGTTGAGAAAGATTTTATTGAAGGAAAGAACTGGGAGGGAAGGGAGAGCCGGGAAAGGGACAGGAGCATCTTGAGCTGCTACCCAAGGAGTTAGGTCAGGAAAATGATGCCCCTCGCTGGGGCAGTGGGATACTTGTAGTATTGGGGTCAGGGAATATGCAAATGAGGTCAAGGAGCTGCTGGTGCTTGCACGGATGAAGAGAAGGGAGGCTTCTTGGTGTGGAGCTGCGGAGTCTGAGTCTTTTGCAGACCAGCCTCTGGGAATGCGGGGGAAGAGGCACACGGTCCAGCTTTGGCCTTGGAGGCAGAATGGAAGGAGCTGCGCTGCGTGGTCCCGACCTGGCCCAAACACCTTTCTCCATATATTTCTATGTTTTCATTTATATCAGTATATACTATGGATTACTATTTTCGTAAAGGGCTAGAATGTTACTGTCTTTTAAGATTTTTATCTCTGATTTTTCGCACACTTGGTCAGTAGAAGCCCCTTAAACTTGTTTCTTAAGTTCTTTCGACATGGTCTCATCTTTCTCTGTGAATTTGCTTTCTGATACAGGATGCTTCATTCCGTCCTGTAATTTTTCTGCCCTCACCCAGGAGTCAGCTTTGTCTGTAGGAGCTTGAGTGACTTTTAGTGACGTACAGGCCAGCTGGCCTCTCTTTACTGCGTGTTGCTGTAGTATGCTTCACAGAGACTGTGCATTTGACAGAGTGAAGTCTGTGACAAGCCCTGCATCAGCAAGTCTTGTCAGTGCCCCGTCTTCCAACCATAAGTGCTCACTTTGCATCGGTGTCCTGTTTGGGGATTCTCACAATATTTCACACTTTTTCATAATGCTGTTCAATACTTCATAGACTATAGCATAGTGTAAATGTAACTTAGATGTCCTAGGAGATAATAAAGTGTCTGTGACTCCCGTGACTGAGTTATTTACTTTATTTGTGATGTTGTGAAACCTAGCCCAAAGCACTCCAAGGTATTCCCTTACTTAGAAACACAAGCTGGAGGCTACGCGTGCTCATTCCTATTGGAAATGCTCTTGTGGCTTTCTACTTCAATGAGAAAATGAGGCGATGTGTGTGGCCAATACCGAGAAACCTGGCTACCATTCTCTTCATCGTATGTGCTTCTTTGTTCAATCTTGCCATACTCAACCAAACTGCAGGGCTGAAAGTTTGCTCTGAGACTTGTGAGCCCATCCCTGCCTGGTGAAACACTAATGTTCACTCCCTTCAAGTGGATGCCAGTTCACAGGGCAGGGTAGAACTGCCCCTGTGGGTT